TCAGTGCTTGATGCTATGAATTCTTTTAATCTTAACAGTGTCAGCCTTTCTAGCACTGAAGCTGTAGCTCTGCAGCAGTTCTTGTCAAATGTTCTACTAGATCATAAAAGATTATTTACAATTTGTAAAATTCCACTTTTCAAAGCTCTTCAGTATAACGAATCCTCTCGAGTCTCCATTAATACTATAAGGTCATCATACTGTGATAATAAAGCTATAGCAATGAGTGGTACTTACAGTTTTAGAACTGATTTACTAACAAACTCGCCACTAATCATTGATGCCAATGGAAATGTTTTAAGTCTCATAAGAAAATTGTCTGCTCACGTTTATCTGATGCCAGAAACTGAGTACCTCCAGAAAGTAGCATTTCAACAAATTCGTAACAGGCAGTTTAGCAGCAGCAGTATAGTTCCTTTTATGATAAGTGTTCTTGACAATTTCTATACTCCTCAGTATAGACAAGTAGCTCAGCAACTTACCTCTGCCATGAGTAACTTACCTTTTGTTGAAGTCTCGAACTCATCAACACTTGAAACTCCTCAAAATCTTTTTGATCCAGATATTGAAATATTACTTCAACTTTATAATGGCGAGAATAAGTTTCCTGCTTCAAGTTTTCATTCTTATCTCTCAATTCTGAGGCAGTGTGGTTTGAAGTCATTTGTCAGTGCTAATGAAATTTTTCAAATTTTATCATCTCTTCGATCAAATGCATATTATTCAACTAGCTGCAATGTTGGTGAAATCAAGTACTTAAGAATTGTTTCTGTACTGAAATACTTGTCCGATAATTCTCATCTTTTTTATGTGAGTATAAATTATCGTAACAATTTGATTGATGTCTTACATAGTCAAGCTAGCCAATATTGCTGGCTACCAGTAGCTTGTAATCCTCCAAACAATTATCCTTCAAGTTTAACATGGAAAGGATATCAGTACAGCACATGTTTAGTCTCCAGTGATGTCAGTCCTCTAGTTGTTTTATCTCAAGATCTCTCTACATCAGAGCTACCACTTATAGCTGGATCCCAAGCTATATTCATTGAAAATACTCCTCAGCAACTCTCACAGATTTTTATTTGCCATCCCAGGGATTTAGTACCAGCCGTAATTTCTCATTTTAATCAAGTAATATTCAATAAAGATAAAATATCTGGAGACATGCTTCAATCAATTTCATTCAAGACATATACATACTTGCAGCAAAACATTAGCTATTGCAATGCACAGTTGTTGGTAGACAACTGGATATGGTTAGAAAGTCATTCAACATTTATTGATTTAAGTCAAGTAGCTATAGCAGCGAATCCTTTTTTTAGATTGAGTCTTGAACCTTTCATTTTTGTGCTGCCTTCAAGCTTGCAAAAGTTTTCAAATCTCTTTACTCGATGTGGTGTACCAGATAGTGTGACTGCTAGTCAGATTCTGTCTGTCCTTACGTCAATACAAGAACAATCTGGTAGCTCACATATTACTAATGATAATGCTTGGTCAATAGTTAGAGCTATATTAGATTGGATAGCAGATGATACTGATAGAATGAGAGAAGGTAATGTTTTAATACCAGTTGAGAGTGATTCCTCTTATCCTCAGCTCCTACCTATTGAGGATGTATCTTATACTGATAATGAAATGCTTCGTGACATTGCTAATGCCTCAGATGAAGTAGTGTACCACCTCATCCATCCCAAAGTGACTTACTTGGTCCCTGTACTAGGGATAACTCCACTCAGTGATCATCTTGATATCACTGAAGATGTGTTTGATGATGCTGGTCAACACGAACCATTGACAACACGACTTGGTAACATCTTGAGGGAGTACAAAGATGGACTCACTATTATAAAAGAGATGATTCAAAATGCTGATGATGCTGGAGCAACTGAAGTCAATATATTATATGATGATCGAACACATTCAACACATAAGCTGTTATTTAAAGGAATGACAGAGAGTCATGGACCAGCATTGATTGTCCACAATAACAGCACATTCACCAAAGAAGACTTCGAAAATATAACTAAACTGGCTGGTGCTACTAAAGCTAATCAACCACTTAAAATTGGTAAATTTGGTGTTGGCTTTTGTTCAGTGTATCATATCACTGATGTACCTTCCTTTGTTAGTGGTGAGTGGTTGTATATATTTGATCCAACACTAAAGTACCTTAAAGGTGTAGTACATAATGAGAGCAGACCGGGTAAAAAAGTTCAGTATCAGTCCAAGTTTTTAGCTCAGTCTCAGCAAATGGCTCCTTATGAAGGTTTGTTTGGTTTCACATCTACTGCCAATTATAATGGTACCATTTTTCGACTTCCTTTCAGGACAAGTCCAAGTCAAATTAGCTCTACAATATACAATGAACATCTGATACAGAAAATGAAAAATGATTTAATAAATAATGGTTCAAAATTACTGCTTTTTTTACAACACGTTAAGCGTATAACATTTAGCTCAGTGCAAGGAGATGTACTGTCAATTAATAGTATTAATGAAGTAAATGGCATTAAACATTGCATAACTAATTTTTCTACTAGCAATTCAGTAAGTGAATACTGGTTAGTTTCTTGTCAGGAAGAGAAGTTACAAGAACAAGGAGGTGACTACCAGCCTGGAACTGCATCCGTAGCTTGCCAGCTGTTTAAAGAAGGTTCAAGCTTTGAGTGCAAAGCAGTTGAAGGTTGTGTATTTTGTTTTCTTCCACTTTCATTGCCTTGCACTGGCCTACCAGTGCATGTTAATGCTAACTTTGCTGTGATGAGTAATAGGAGTGGCATCTGGACTGAAGCTTCATCTGGAGAGCCTTCTGATTCAAGGGAGTATTGGAATGAAAAGCTAATGACTACAGTCATACCAAAAGCATATTACAATTTATTGAAAATGCTGAAAAAGATGTGTGTTACAGGGAGCCTCATATCATATGAGTTTTATAAATTATGGCCACTAAGTAAGGAACTACATATGAGATATCCATGGGAGGATATGATTCCTGTTCTGCTGAAATTAATATGTAATAGAAGCTTGTTTTATTCTAGTTCAATTCATCAGTGGTTGACATTAGATGAATCCCAATTCCTTACTTCATTATTTGGATCAAGAGATTATTCTTCATTTGATAAAGCTGCCTCTATTCTACAGATACCAGTGGTCTCATTGCCAATATCTCATTTAGATGAAATGAGGTCTAGTGTTTCCATAATTAGTGAGAGTGAGTTTACTACTAAGTTCTTAAATAACATTGATCTCTTCTATGATTATGTTGAAACTCGAAATAGAATTCTTTTCATCATGCTTTCTGCTATTGGATCTGATCCTGTTCAATACACTGAATGTGCTATTGAGTTTAAAAAAGTTTCTTCTATTCCTACCTCACCCAATGGAACTGCTCTTAAATTAGCCAGTGAGCTAGTTGATACTCATTATTTTGATGCTATGTTTGATCCAGAGGATAGCATGTTTCCATTAGATAAATTTTATCAAAATCCCTTGACACGTATAGCATTGTTTCAACTTGGTTTGTTATCAGTTAATACAGTCCCTTGGGAAATGATCATCAATAGTGCTAAAACAGTAGCATCACTTCATGATAGAAACAAGAAGAAAGCGTTATTAAGAATTCGAAGTATCATTAATTGCATTTGTGATAAAAATGAAACTGCACCATCTGAATTGAGACAGATTAATTTTTTACCTGTCCTACCAAAACCAGAAAAATATTTTTTGCCATGGAAAGGTGATGGTCACAGTTTGATAGCACCTAGCCAGATAATATGTGAGCAATTTCAAAGCTTTCAGAAACCACTTTATACAGTAAGTTCTCAGAAGGCACTGCTGAATACAAATTCAGAAGATGGATGTGATTTTATATCACAAAAAGCTCTTGAGCTTTTAAACATTTCATCGAGACCATCATTTGATGAGGTGCATGCACATTTTATGTGTCTGGTAAAATGTTTTAATCCAGATAATATTGATGATCCAGAGGCAAGGGAACTATTTGAAAATATGTGTCGGTATGTTTATGAATATTATGAAAATTTATTAGCCACATCTCTGGATGAATCTCCCAGTACTGAACTACAAACATTAATAATTTCTCCTAAAGCCAAAAAATTCATCGATACTTATCATAACAAACCTTTTGTTTACACTGGAACAGGATTTGTTACTTCGTCTGACGTAGCTGTCAATTGGAAAATAATTGAAGGACCTTACCTTTACAAGCTACCTAGCATGTTGTCACAATGCAGGTTGTTACTACAGCATTTGAGTATCAAATATGACTTTAGCATTACTAAATTACTGGCAACATTGCATCAGATGTTTAAAGATTTTGGTCCTAGTCATCAGCTACCTCTAAAATATCATAAAATAGCTAATTGCATTATACATGAATTAAACTCAGTGAGTAAAGAGGAAATTTTGAGCATTAGAGAAGCGGTTTATCTTGCTGACCAGAACTATGTTGTTCGACCAGCTAATAAATTAGTTTTTAATGATGCTCCATGGTTACCAGAAGATGCTGACAACAATTATGTTACTTCTTTGCTTAATCGAGATATAGCACTAGCACTTGGTGTTGTACCTACTAGAAACAAATTTCTTGACAAATTTACTTCTATAAGTCAAACATTTAGTGGTGTGCCATATGGGCAAAAAGAAAGTTTAACCCAAAGAATTAAAAATATTCTTAGCAACTATCCATTTGACGAGACTTTTGTAAAAGAATTGATACAAAATGCTGATGATGCTAAAGCTAATGAAATGATTATTATATTAGACAGAAGACAACATGGAACAGAAAAGGTTTTATCAGAAAACTGGGGAGAATTACAAGGTCCTGCCCTTCTGGTATGGAATGATAAAAATTTTAGTGATCAAGATTTGGAAGGTATTCAAAAGTTGGGTCTTGGTTCTAAACGTGATGATGATGAATCAATTGGTCAATTTGGTATTGGTTTTAATGTGGTATATCATGTAACTGATTGCCCTAGTTTCATAACAAGAGGTGAAAAGTTTTGTGTATTTGATCCTCACTGTAAATATGTACCTGGAGCTGATGCAATTAGTCCTGGCAGACAATATAATATTGATAAAACATTTTGGAATGATATGCCTGACCTTTCTTCTGCTTTTTTACAAGATAATTTTACAAGCAAGCTACTTGAAATTGACAAAGGAGTACTTTTTCGTTTTCCACTTCGCTCTACCCAAAAATTAGTAGAACAATCTAAAATTATTAATGAAATTAATGATACAGTAGTTACAGCTGATGTGATGGAATCTTATTTGAGAAACTGGGTGTCAGTAATTAAAGATTTACTTCTTTTTCTGAACCATCTAACCACATTTGAATATTATGTGATCAATGAAAGTGGTAGCATTGCTCTTCAAACAAAGTATAATATCCATATAACTGAGGAAGATCATCTGAAACGAATCCATCTAAAGGAAAGTTTATCTAATTTTAAATCAATTCTACAGCCTTGTCTAGTTACATATTCATTGACACTTGAAGCAAGTGTGAACTCAAGCAAGGAATCCAATAGGGAGGTTTGGTTAATTCAGCAAGGGGTTGGAGATATGCTGGATCCCTTAAAAGACTGGAAGTTTGTACCTAAGATATTACCTCAACATGGAATTGCTACTACCCTCATTAGATCTCAAAATTTCAAAGGTCAAGTGTTCTGCTTTCTTCCTCTTCCAATATATACCAATCTACCTGTTCACATAAATGGCAAATTTATTCTTAATAGTGACAGACGTTCTTTATGGGCTAGTACATCAGAAAAATTAGATGATAGAAGTACATGGAATAATAGTCTTTATAAAGCAATAGCATCTTCGTATGTCCACTTTTTAAAAATAGCACAGTCTTCATATGTGGCAGCTTCTGGCTACAGCAAATTAGAGGAATTATTTAGTGCTGTTGATGTTTATTATGGCCTTTTTCCACTTTGGAACCCTCCATTCAAATATGATAAATTGAAAGAAATAGATTCTTCAGGCATAGATGAGAAAACAAAAACAGTGTATGACTGGAAAGGAATTGGAAGTAAAGTTTTAAAGCTGTTGTGGTCAAGGAATGACTTGGTGTTAGCAGTAGCTAGAAAAGACATTAAGTCGAATGAACATGGTAGGTGCATTTGGTTAGTTGATTGGCATTCCCTACATGATGACATTGAGTCTTTTACACAGGTCTATTTTTTAAAAAAGGAGGACAGATATATGAAGAAAATATTGACCAGCCTTTGTATGGTTATCACATGTGCTCCTTATGCATTATACAAAAATCTTAAAAGTTTAAAACTTGATGAAAAGACTTTCATTGAACCAGCTATTGTTGATTATAAATCTGTCTTTAAATTTTATGCTAAATTTTACCCCAAAATATTACCAAACAGTTGTCCTTGCTACATAGATGAAACTCCTTTTCAATCAGCTAAATTTTTTTGCACTTTTGTTAAGTATATGTTGCTTGAAATTATTGACCATGAAACTACTCGTTATAGATTAGAATTTCCTAATTCTCCAGAAAACATTCCTCTTTTGTTAACTGCTGATAATAAATTACGAGAATTTAACCAATCTAAAGATATTTTGTGCAGCAAATTTGTTAATCTTTTTCCAAATAGCTTATCTCAATTTGTACATGAAGAACTTTTTGATATGTACTCAAAAACATTATATTTTCCTCCACCAAAAGATGTACCTTTTGATATTATTGAAGGCATACTAAATGTGAATTTGCACACAAAGCTTCAAGATAAAGCTGTAGATAATTCACAATCTGCTTTTATACCACCAGAGAATTTTGCAAGTTTGTGGCAATGTTTATGTAGTGATGATGTTTTTCAATGTCATCAATCTAATATTGTTGAAAGATGGGCTTTATTACCATCCACTTCAGGTTCATTGTATTCAGCATCATCACCAATTCGTCCCTTAATACCACCTGCTGCTGCTGCTGATGATGATGATGATGCTAAATGGTATCAAGAAGTTTATAAAGTGTTGTCTATTTTCAATGTTCCAATTTATGAATCAAAACCAGAAGGGGAGTTTGATAGCCAGGTAGAATATTGCATTCAGTTAAATCAAGCAGACAAAGTTCTTTTAATGTTATATCATTGTGAGGATATTGAAAAAAGGATTTTAGCAAATGAAGATTCTGCTTTAAAGGTACTTTGCAAATATTTTAGGGAAATAAACTTCAGAACAAATGCAAAATGTTTGACTTGCATCAGATCATTACCTTTATTTAAATCAATACAAGGTGATCTTGTTAATATTAAAGGAAAGACAGTGTTAGCTACAGGCTATTTAAAACTTTGTCAGGCTGGTTATGATATTTGGGCTACTCAAAATGATTTAGTTTTTTTAGTGACATCTGGAGCTTGGGCTGAACTTGGAATCATGACAGAGCTAAATGTAAAAGAAATCACATTATCTCATTTACCTGAAGTTTATATTAGTCATATTTTTCCTCATTTTAAAAATTTAAGGCCTGATGACAGAAGAGATCACTTACATTATATACTTCGTAGTAGTTTTATTACTAAAAGTAATTCTGAACGTCCATCCTTTTTTTATCACTTTCTTTCCAACTTGCAATGCTTAGAAACTCAAACAGGCGAGCTTCAAAAAGTGTCATACTTTTATGATCATTCAGCTCCAATCTTTTATACTTTTAGTGACTTGTTTCCATTTGTTCCAGAAGCATATAGGAATAAAGAATGGCTGGAATTTTTTAAATTGCTAAAACTACAATCAACTACTCCTATTGACAAATTCAAAGAATGTTGTGAGTCAGTGATGAGTAAGAATGAAAATGAAAGAGCAATAGCATCTGAAATTTTAGTTTCTTATTTGTTTTCTGAATCTGCAAAGGAATGGCATATAGACTTCAAAATCTTAGCAGAAATTGGTGATATTCCTTTTGTTCAGGTCAATCCTGTCAGTGACTTTCAGTGGATCAAAATGCCACACAGCAAGACTGGATTAACTAAATTCAATCAAGCAACCATATATGACTGTGCTGAATTGGTTTGGACTGTCAATACTATTATACGTATACCTTCAGAAATAGCAGAGTGCATGGAAACTCAAGAATTTAGAGCATTTTTAAGGGAAGCATCTGTTGTTCCACAAAACAATGAATCACATTTTAAGATGTCACTAAGAAATCTTGGTGTTACTGTTGAACCAGCAGTTGATGATGTCTATCATAATTTTATAAATATTTCAGAAACACCATTATCTAATTTTAAACTCTTTGATTGCTATAGCACCAGTGTAACGAATCACCCTATTAAGATAGAAGACATTATTAGAAAATCATTGAAGTATTTGTATGAAAAAGGTGCAAATGATCTTCTCGATAGGCTTAAAGTTGTACCATGTATTCCAGTACAAGCTGACAACACTAATACAGGTGAGTTCATGACCCGACCAGTACTTGTCAAGCCAATGCAAATTGTGAGAGAAATATCAGATGATTGTAACCACCTCTTTCCTTACGTTCATTCTTTACCTCGCTTTATGGCAAATATTGGTCATGACCTTAAACTCATTGGTATATCAGACAGAATTACTTTAAAATCATTACAGCATCTCCTTGAGACTGTGCATCAGCAACTGAATGGTTCTAAAATAAATCCTAATTGTGCCATAGCAGTAAAAGAAGCAGTCATCAAAATTTATAATTTATTGGAAGCTTCTCATGATACCAATGATGACGTTGTATGTGAACTTGATCCACTCTATTTGCCCACTGCTGATGGATATTTAATGCAGTCAACTGATCTTGTCTTTATTGACTCATTTCGTTATCAAGATGCTTCATTGAGTTTTGAAAGATCTCCATATCCTTTGTTTCAATTGTCTAATGAAACAGGAATTGTCAATAGTTCAAATGAATACAAGCTTTCCTTGAAACTGCCTGAAAAACTTAGACCGTTTGGTCTTTCACAAATATGCAGAGAGGAATTGCTTATTAACAGTCAAACATCCAATGAAGTCACTCATCTTTTTCAATATCATGAAAATCTGAAAGGCATTGTTCCATCTTTGCAAAAAGTGCTACCAAAAATGATTGATGCTCATTTCAAAATTACAAATAGCACTGTTTTGGATGAAGCAGCAATACATAAGTTTGTATCAACATTGCTGGATCAGTTTATAAATGGTGTCGAGTTAATCATCATAGATAGCCTAAAAAGTGACTTAAAGCTGTTAGCCACAGATATTTCATTTGGTATTATCAGTGTTAAATTTTTTATTCAGAAATCTAAGCTGGGTCACTTTCTTTTATATTTAGATAAAAAGGCAAGTCCTCTTACTTATTCCTTTACTAAAGAATTCGCTTTTATTTTATGCTTAAAAATTGCTCAATTACATGATGTAAAATCAACAGAATATTTGTCTTTTTCAAGTCCAGTTCAGGAGTGTTTGATGGCACAATCTAACAATGATTTAATGTACATTTTAGAAAAGTTTGAAATTAATACACCCGGTGTTAATCTGCCTGCCAAATTTAACGAAATTGGTAGCAGTATACCTGAAAAATTATTTTCCTTCCTTCAAATGAATATTCATCATATATTCTACCCTCAGGAAAGGGTAGGATATGAAATCAAAGATGGCTACTTAGTTTATGCAATTGTGCTATGTCAGATTCAAGCTAATTGTGATGATCCAATTGGATTTAGAAGGCAATATAAAATTAAAATTGATGACAGTGAAACTGGGACAAGAATTGTATCTACCTTAGATTTATATAAATTTGTCAACAAGGAGCGGTTTGAAGAGTCGAAAGGAAAAGAATTTGACATGGAGAGAGCAATGGCTAAAGCAAAGAATATATTAAGCTTGGATGAGCTAAAGACAGAGATTCAGCTTTCACTTAGTATAATTGAGAAAATTAAAGATAAAGATACTTATAAAAAGGCCAAAAAACGCTTATATCTATATTACCTTTGTGACAAAATCAATCTAGTTGAAAGTGATTTCTATGAAAAAGCAATTCAGTTGTTAGAAGATAAACTAAAAGCTCAAAATCACTCAACAGAATCAGATGATACTAATGACATATCTATGCTAGAAAATGACTTTAACCAGTGGAATATTTTTGCACAGAAAGTATCTCAGAATTTAGGTCAAGAAGCTACTCATAGTGTTGATGCACCACCCTCTGATACTGTTTTTTGGGAAGCATTTGAATTGAAACCACAATTGTCAGAAGCAAAAAGGTGGTTAAAGCAGGCCAAAACAGACTTAGAAGCAATGAAAATACTAAATACTAGTACTCAATCACAGAAGAAAGTTGCAGTATATTGCCAAGTACTGTTTTTAGCTCATGAAACATGTGAGAAAGCTCTTAAAGCTGCAATGTATAAACTGGTTGGTTTAAATTCTGGCAGCCTTACAGTTCACAACCTTTACAGCTATGCTATAAATATTGCATCAATCAAAGGTGATAAATGGCAGGAGCTTCCCAAGCTAGTACTTTCAATGGAGAAATATTATCTTGATTCAAGATTTCCTAACCGACACTTGCTTCCACATGCACCTGTTGATGTATATTCTTCTGCTGATGCTATTGGAGTGGCTAAAAATGCAGAGAAAGTTTATGATCTAGTGGCAATGCTTTTTGAGCCAAACGAGATACCTCAACCAATGAGTAAGTGACTAGATACTTTCATATTGTGCTTTAATTAAGCCAAAAATATATGCAACATTGTTGTATGCAGCATTGTTGCATGCAACACAGTTTTACATGTTGCCTAACGTATAACTATGTTGGGTCAAGGTAGCTGTTTCAAGTTATCATAGCACCATAGGCTGGTTTATGCTGTCTATATGTCCTTGCTATTATAGCCTGTGCTCCTTATTTTAAAAGGATCACATTACACTTCCCCAATTTTAGCCAAAATTGTATAATGATCATCTCAAATTATGTTAGATCTATCTTATGCAGCATTAGAACAAATAAGAATGACAGATATAGCTATTCAGTGTCATCTCAATCAGCCAGGTATGTCTACATGCATACTATGTGCAAATTAAAGTAATTGTGTACATTCATGTACTAGATGAAGAGAAACTAAGACAATTACAGAGAAAGATAGAGTCACTTGAACAATCATTTAAAATCAAAGAAGCAGGTAAATCTAATGTGTATATATCATAGATTTATGTACATGTATTAGATGAAGAGAAATTGAGACAAGAGTTACAAGAAAAGATTGAGTCACTTGAACAGCAATTGATCAAAGATTGTAAAGAAGTAGCAGTTCAGTTTGATTACCTTATTCCTCAGTCAGGTATATAGTATGAGTATAATAGGAATGATGTGTCTGTATTGTTTCAGATTCACTAGACTCTAATGTCATTATCGCTGGACAGAAGCTCTTTATCCTACAAGGAGACAAGGCTTGTTCAATCCCATGGGAACAATATGGATTCAGATTACAGTGTCCTCAAGGAGCAGTTTCTAAAGATACTGTTTTTGAAGTAGCTGTTACTGCACTAGCTGGTGGTAATTTCAAGGTACCCAAAGGTACTGTGCTAGTGAGTGCAGTATATGCAATATCAGTATCTAAGGCACTATTAAAACCACTGGTAATAGAGCTAGAACATTGTTTGGATCTAAGGAACACTAGTCAGACTGGTTGCCTCAAGTTTGTCAGAGCTCCACTGAAGTCTCCCAATGCTTACCAGTTCAGTATAGTTGAAGGAGGATCTTTTAGTGTTGGGAACAGATATGGTTCTATTGAACGCGATGAATTCTGTGCTTTTGGTATTGCACATGTTGCTGAGATGAGTAATGGAGACACTACTAATGGAGGTGGGAATGGAGGAGGAACACAAACTGAAGGTGCATTAATGTTTGTACCAATTCTATTGATGTGTTTGTATAGGAACAAATAATGATAGCCAAGAGCAAACTAATGAAGATACACACACATCAAATGATAGTGAGAATGAAGCAGGAGAAAAAAATAGCCAAGAGCAAGCTGATGGAGATACACAAACGTCAAGTGATAGTGAGATTGAAGCAGGAGAGAAAAGTAAAGAAGCCTCTCCATCAATAATTAACACACCACCTAAAGGTATGCTACTGTATCATGTACCGTATGGTATGTTTTGCCTTATAGAACCAAATATAGATACCACTGAGTTAAAAGAACCAAATTCTGATAATCATGATGATTCCACTCTTCGTTCAGACAATAATGGTACGTTACTTACATGTTTATATAACTAACTACTAGAACATTGTTTAGCACCATCTGGTGATATGCTGTATACTGGAATGATGTATTATGAACCAAAGGAAGTTGGTTACAGGAGAATTAGGTATTGGTATTCTGTTGTGAGAGATTTGCAAGTTCTTAAGCGGGTAATGTAATTCATGCATTTTGATTAATTTTTTGTTCACATAGTATTTAGAAAAAAAACACGGTTCAA